ATCTGTTCTGTGCAGAAAGACTTTCTGGTTTAAGTGCTCTGATACAGGAGGTGCTGGACAGGACATCCATCTCCCCATTGAAGTCTACAGACATTCACCGGTGTCTTTTTGAGGGAAGACGCATGTTATTGAGGTGGGTATAGTGACAGGAGAAATAATGTTGTTTTTATCCTTATCAGTCATTTGCCAGCATGGCAGCACTACTCACAGAGTGCAGTATAGAGAATAAACACATAAACCCAGCTAACAGATCCTCAGACCTTGTGCGTGTGTGTATCCGTGGCTGATGAGATCCCTCCAAAGGATAAAGGATAAACTCTCTGCTGATAACGTTACAGTTTTGGATGCTCTCATTCACAAAGCATTGCTGCTTTGCCAGGGAGATGGCACAGCCCTGTAATTGACATTTTTTAATTTCTCTTTGCAATATGTATAAGGATAGCCCAAATGAATCACAGTTATTTCTCCTTCTCATGTAGGATCTCACATATGGTTTCTATGTGAATCTGCTGTTAGCCTCAGACTTTAGATACCAGGAGTTATACTGATGATTTGCTTTGTGTCACTGATGCAGATTCTCCATCTCCAGATTCTTGCAGTAATGAAATACAAATTTGATTGAACTTCTCTCCAGCCAAAAGGCGTTATAACAGTAGGGAAGCAGGCACTTGGGAGTATGAGTACCCCTAGGACAGAACTTCAAGGATTGCTTGCTGCTTCTGGATTTTCAGACTTTGCAAAGACACTTGCATACTGCTGACCAGAAGGTTGAAGCTCTCTGTTTCTATATTCAATGTATAAAAGGAAGTTCTAACCAAGCTTTAACTCTCAATCTCAGTCTGCTTTTTCCAGTAGCTCAGTCCTTAAAAATTATTATTCTTGTCTAAGAATGCAGGATTGTTGTGTGCCATTTTACTGGAACAAATGAAATAACAATATCTCCGTTTCTGGACAAGGATCTGTAAAGACTTCTTTTCAGGATGCTGTTGTTGCAGCCAGTGTCTTTGATGACCCGATGCCCCTGATTCCTGTAACAAGTTACAGGGTACTTGAATCCTGGGGTCAGTTTTAGGCCCCTCACTCCCAGAAGGACATTGAGGGGCTGGAGTGTGGCCAGAGAAGGGCAAGGGAGCTGGGGAGGGGTCTGGAGCAGCCGAATGCTGGGGAGCGGCTGAGGGACCTGGGGGGTTCAAGTGGAGAAGAGGAGGTGAGGGGAGACCTTATCCCCTCTGCAGCTCCTGAAAAGAAGGGGTAGCGAGGGGAGGTTGGTCTCTTCTTCCAGGTAAATAGTGACAGGATGTGAAGAAATGGCCTCAAGTTGTGCCATGGCAGGGTTAGGTTGGATATGAGGGAAAACTTCTCCACCAAAAGAGTGGTCAAGCACTGGCAGGGCCTGCCCAGGGCAGTGGTGGAGTCCCCATCCCTGGAGGCGTTCAAGAAGTGCATGGATGTGGCCCTTGGGGTTTAGTGGCCATGGTGGGGTTGGGGTGACAATTGGCCTGGATGATCTTGGAGTCTCCTCCATCCTCAGTGTCTCTGTGATTCTGAATTTCAAAGTAAATCTCCCAAGGTCCCAATATTTCCATGAAACTGTTTCCCAAGACAGACAGAGTGGTGGGAGCTCACCAGAGCAGCACTCCTCAGTCTGCACTCACCACTCCAGCATTTTTAGGTGAAGAAATAAGTACAATTGTACCTTGGATGATCTCCATACACAGACAACCATTACATGACGTTCTTTCCTTCACAATTCCTAAGGCAAAGACCTCAAAAAAACCCCTAAAAATTAAGGTTATTCACAGTAATCACTAATATCTGCCAGAACACAGTTACCATAATTTTTACGAACTCCTGTGAAGACTATGGAGAGTTGGTTTTGGCAGCAAACAAGCTAAGTAAAACTTATTTGCAGTTTGGTTTGCTCAGGTGGAAAGTGGGATGAGAAGAGAATTAGTCTGGATTTACAGAACGCTGGGGTTTCTGTTTTGAAATTATTTTTGGATTAGTGTCTTGGCAGATTCAGTTCTAAGAGATTCTGGTTATGTTGGATAGAATTCACTCTAACAAAAAGGATTCTGACCTCTCGGATATAGAATTAGCAGGTTTTGTCCAGACGACTCTTGAAGTAAGTAGAAAAGATGGGGAAATGGAGATTTGTCCTAATTTCAGCAAACCAAGAGGTACCCCTGAGAGACAGAGGAGTAAAAGAAGAGTTGCTCTAAAAAATGGATTATTTTTGCCTAACAGTGTATCTGTGCAAAAATTGTAGAATGCCTGAAAAAGAAGCAAGAAAAACAGTACAAAAATGGAAGTTTGCAATGGTGATTATGTATAGGATTGTGAGAATAAGATTTTCCTAATGCATTTTTAAAGATTTTTTTTGGACAATACAGCTGATGTTCAGTAGTTAACTCAGAAAATAGAAGCAGCATGTCATCATATGTCAGAGTAGATATTTACAATGCAAATGAGATCAGATAATTTGACAGCGATGAGTGTACAGATAAAACCTACGAATTCCACAAACTCTCTACTCTTAAGGTCTGAAGTAAAAAGAATACAAGGAGAAATTTCTGTCTAGGATAGAAAGCAGAAAGATTAAAGCCTTCCTTTGACCAGTTGATCAACCTACTATAGGAATACCTGAAATAAAGGGACAATTGTAGGCTTTTTAACTACCCAGTTTATCTTTTGGTCAAAAAATGCAAATCAAGGTCTATCATCAAAAGGCTTCTTATGACCTAAGAGTTGAATAAGCAACCCTGGACCTAAAATTACCTGAGTGTATACAAATAACTAAGAAAGTCTGAATATTCTCAGTTAAAACTAAAAGTCAGCATTAATAGCAGCAAACTTTTTCAACTTAAGTGGTATCATTGTCTCTAAGTACCAGTAAATGTGCTCTCTGAAGCTAATGTGTGTTTTCCAGCGTGTATATTTTCGGGTAGGTAATCTTGAATTAGCTCATTGTAATTCTAGAGAAAAAAGCGGATGGTTGTAGAGCTTTCATCCCTTATTATAGGGAACTCTGGTTGCTTCGCATAAATGCAGACAAATTGGAAATGAGGTCTGGAGGAAGAAAACACCACGTCAGCAAGGAGAAGAAAACAGGTCCCTCAGGAATCCTAAAACTCAGGCTTAACTTTCTTGAAGGAAGAAAATACAGAAAGAAGAATCCAAGGAATAAGATATAGCCAGACTATTTCCATGAGGGACAGCTCAAAGAAAGAATAAAAAGGTAGAAGAGAGGAAGGGACAGCCAGAGACTAAAACGCAGTATTTAAATAGCCTTGTGGTGGAAGTAATGTTTCTTCTTGATGTGTTCAGTGTATAAAAGAGTACTAAAGGCAGCGATTAGGGTGTTGGGGCTTTATTTTCCACTGTTTTCCACTGAAACAGAAAACATTTTACCTTTCTTGCTTTTGCTGGAGTCTTTAATGAAAAAGTTGAAGCTGGGCTGTGAATGACAAAGGGGAGAAATCTTCAGGTTTTCTGAAGACAAGCCCCAAATTCAGCTTTTTTTGGAGAGCCGGAGTAAGTTTTAAGGAGCCGAGAGGCGTGCTTTATAACACACCCCCAGCACAACACACCCCCACCACACCTCCCTTCTCCGCGCCCTTCCAGGCCGCCTCCTCCCGCCCGCGACCGCACAAGCCGGGGTGCGCAAGGTGCCGGGCTCCTCTCTCCGCCCCGGCTTGGAGCGGCGGAATTAAGCAGGGGGGCGAGGG